TAACTTCCTGTTTTGAACACTCGCGCATGCGCCGCACAGGAAATCTTAAAATATCAACAAAAAATTGTGACGACAAATGCAACTCAAAAGACATTCCAGCATTCTTGAGAAGTATAAGGTGGCAAAATAAGTTTGTTTCCTCATGTTGTAGTGAGTGGTGACCGCCAAATACGTTTGGTGCAATCGCTAAAGTAATAAACCAGCGTTCATAGATACCCGCACTTATCTGCACACATGCGCAGTAAGATCTGTACAGGTGTCGATTCCGGTAAGTTATCCGGATCGCGCTTAGAAATCCACCTCGCTTGCAGGATTTTGAAAATGCGCATTTTCAAAATCCTCTTGCGTTCACACTACTGCATTTATTCGAATTGTGACCTAATTCGCAACTTATCCGGATAAGTGAGCGTAGTGTGAACGGGGTATATATGCTACTGCACTGTATACTGTACCACATATAAACATCAGCTGTGAAATTTTCAACCACCCTGTACTGAATGATTTTCACATTGGATGCGGGTGTAGCTATAGCTAAATGTTAAAGTGAACATCATCGTGTACATATGTGGCAACAGTACTCCTGCAAGTAACATTAGGCTGATATAAGAGTAGTCTAGATCAGTATTACAAAGATGGGAACCACTAACTGCGGAGGATTTAGTGCCTAACACTGCGACTGCCAGTGGGAGATAGATTAACATCATTATTCTAGGTAAGGTTGCTATTGATGATGTTGAACTGGATTTGATGTCGGCATGCATGGCAGGTACACTGTGTTTTTATCGCAGGGAGAAGGACAATGACACGATTTATCATAATCACATAGAGGAAGCTTAGTTAGAAACTGATAATGGTGCATGGTATGAGGGCTTCATTGAAAGGGTATATATGTTTCATGTGACAGTACTAGTACTTACTGATGGGTCTGATGACTGAGTACATGTGTATAGGCTGGGGTTGTGACATTTATGCATGTACTTCACGGTATTTACAGACATCTGTCTGGTGTATATAGATAGAAAGGTATTAGTATGTTGTTCTCTCTCTCTCTCTCTCTCTCTCTCTCTCTCTCTCTCTCTCTCTCTCTTGTTCACCCACATACAGAATATTGAAGACATGGAAAAAACAGTGGAGATGCTGAAGGTCCATATGACCTACACTACAAGAAATCTGCAGGTTCCCCCATTTCTGTGCTGGTCAGAACAAAATATTTTATAATTTCCTAGTAGTCTTTGTTTACATGTGATTTAGTATTATGTATTGTGTTTTCACACAAACCTTGCCAGTAAGAGGACCTATGATATCATATAATATATCTTGCAGGTCCTTTGGCATTTCAAGTGGTCATGATCAGTTGGACATGCAGTCTCCCTATGTCTGATAGATTGCACATACATACATGTATACTGTGTATATGCATGGTTGCTCTCATACAAGTGCTCTATTTTGTAGCGTCATATTTCATAATTTGCCATTTTCTAATTTAAACATATAATATTATCACATATTTATGATCATGTGCATGTTCCCACTAATACACACACACTCTCTCTCTGACACACATACATGCACGCACACACACACACACACACACACACACACACACACACACACACACTTGGTGACTTTTCAAAATTCTCCCACAGTCATCATCAATTTGCTTGTGAATCATCCAGTCCTTGTCTGGCTTCCTAGTCTTACATATTGTAGCCTGTATTATTGCTTTCTCATTACTCCCCCAAAAACCTACTTCTATCCTATTGTTGAATATTTTCATTGTACACAATTGCAGTATAGGAAAACAGCCCCTGACGTGTTTAGAAACAGCTGTAGAGAGTATTAATTAATCAATACAGCAGCTTGTGTGTTCACCCCCTGACCAGTAAGCTACTGGCACTTAGCACTCAGCTGGTATGTATATATACTATTTATATAACAGGTTAACAGTTGTTCTCTCATCATTGCCATATCAGAGTATAGTTAATTGTATTTAATGTCTCATTAAGTATTTTAAATTGAATCAGTGAAAGGACGAGATATGGTAGTGCATCATGACTTTTAAAAGGGTTGTGTATTAAATCATGGTGTAAATTGTGTGTTGTGGACCACCGTGTCATAAATTTGGTGTCTCCTGGATTGCAAAATAATGGGACTTTGCAATACTTTGGAAAGGCAGATTATCAGAAAAAGTCTTTCAGTGCTTTTGCCTATGACAAGTAAGTGCTTGCATTAGTATGCTACAGAAGCTTCGCTGAGAGTTCAGAAATAAAGATGTAGCATTCTAGTAGATTGCATGATCAAAATGTTTTTAGTTTTTTTGATTAGTTTCATTGTATTTGTTTGCAAAAGCTGTTCAGTAACACGACGAGTTGTCATAGAAATTTAGTTTTGTGATATAATCAGTACACATTGTGACTCACTTAAAATGATTTGCAGTTTGCCATTAAGAATAAAACACTGATGTCTCCTATGAATCATAGGGCATTAATTCTCTCAGTGAGATTTTTTTACTCTCTTGTCATCTCACCTGTATCTGTATAATTAATTCATAGAAATTAGGATCATTGAAGATGATGTCATGTGTGACCTGATTTGAGTGCAATATGACTTAATCCTAGATCTCAAAAGAACAGATTTGACATGTTTGGAACATGAAGCAAAGATAGATTTCTCTCTCTCTCTCTCTCTCTCTCTCTCTCTCTCTCTCTCTCTCTCACATATACACACACGCATACACAGACAAACAATCAGTCATGCAATCAGTTTTCAATTTATATTTTTAATTAGAAAAATAGAGGAAGTCATTTTGAAAATGGAGATAAAAAAATACTATAGCTTTTGGAGAAGGAAGGTTTGTAATAATGATCCATATTATTGTCTTTAATCTTTGCACTCCTCTCAGCTACCCACTAGCAGTGACAGATTATTTATAATTATGGCAATTACTTGGTAAATAAATTCCAAAAACATAGTTTCTGATTCATTGATTGTTGACAACAAATACCCTACAGTTGGTTCTTATGTCTGATTGTTGCAAACAATATATTGGATAATAACAGTAATATTAGTGCATTGTTTTGAGAATTGAGATATTACATTTGTTTCTTAAATTCATTGACTGTTTATGGCATGTTGCATCATAATGATTAAAAAGATTGCAAGACCAAATGGTACCAGTAATCATATGGTTCTTTGCTTGATTCTGGGTATGTTTTCCTTATACTTAAATAATTTCTCAAATATATGAAGCTTTGATCATATTTGTTCAAAGTAGTTGTCCATTTCAGGGTCCTTTTTTGGTGTTTATTCTCTTCGTGTATTGATATTTCAGGTTCTCTACATTTTGTAATGAGATTAAGCCTCTGTTCAGTTTGTGTAGATCTTTCCATTTAATGTCATTTCTGTTCAGTTTCAACTTGAGTTCAATCATAACAATGGACTCCATCCCTGTAGTACAGATGTACTTAGTATATCATTATGTACCCCACAGATGGCCTAGTGGTCAGATTGTCTCTTTCATAAATGGTACCTGATGTCTCCTTGCTTCACATTTAACACCTAGGGATTGAAGCAGAGGTGAAGTTCCTGTTCTGGCAGTGAAAATATTTTTGTTTGTTAGCTTTGAGCCTCTCATACAGCAGCCAGGCTGTATCCACCCAAGGGGGGCAAGAGCGTCCACACCCAGTCTGTATCTTGGCCAAAAATGACTAGGCAGCTATTGCAAACCGTACTGATAAGTAAAATATATTATTATTATTATTATTATTACAGAGTGTGGCATATATAAAAACCAAACTTTACTTTTATTATGAAAATGTTCATTGAAATTTTCTTAAAGTGCAGGGTATATGTACAGATATGTGTTATGCAAATCTCTCACACGTGTACACAAACTTATGGCAAAAGCAGTATTAATATATATTTAATGTACCTCATTATCTTCTAAGGCTGAGAGGCATGCATCAAACCTGTTTATTGACATGGATTTATGCACACTGGTAAGAAAGTTGCTTCAACTACACATGCCCTTGTCATCTTTCAGTGGAGAATATAATATTTGCATTGATCTTTTGTCTCATTTCTTTACCTAACCCTTGCATGGACCATCCCCAGACTTGGGAATCCTGTTCAGAAACCACAAAATATATTGGGTGTATAAGTAAAAGAACACCCTAAAACCCATAGACTGATAGTGTATTAGGGAGCGTTTAGATAAATTCACCATAGATGGATGGATCCAACTCTGTGTGAGATTCTGCATAAGTGCCATCACTGTAATCGTCTTGAATGTCTGACATGCTTCCCAAAGCTGCTAGGGGTAATTGAGCCAAACACACATGAAATTTAATTACCCCCTATTATTAAAAAAATTATTCAAGAAGGTGTGTCAGACATTTAAGCTGAATGCAATTTAGGGAGAATTTCCTGCAGAGTTGGATCGATCTGGCTAGAAGGATGTTTAAATCTGAATTTGGCCTTATAATGTCTTTTTCTTTCTATTAGGTTCATTGGTTGTCAGCCCTTGTGGTTTGAGACTCAGGGTAATACAGATGTCTGTCTAGCTTGTAGACATGGCTGGTTTATTCAGTTGTTTTCACTTGGCTGGTTTGTTTCTGCATTTCCAGTTGACTGAAGGTAAAAAAAGGAGTGCAAATGATAGAAGATGGGCTGAAATTTGATAGCAAGAATAAAGAGGCCTAAGTTCTCATGTGGAATATTTGATATGAAGCAGCAACAATGGAGCCTGTTATTTTTTGTTCTGGCGACATGAAATCAGGATTTCTTAAGGAGTTCTTTCACTATATCATAATATTACAGCTTGAAAGAGAGTTCTGGGGACCATCGGCTGAAAAGAAAGATCTCTCTCTCTCTCTCTCTCTCTCTCTCTCTCTCTCTCTCTCTCTCTCTCTCTCTCTCTCTCTCTCTCTCTCTCAAAGACATACAGGTTAGAAACTAACTCAGAAAATGATAAGAAAGTACCTTTTATTGATGCAAGTTTAGGCCAACTTTGAAATATCATAATTTATAGGGAAATGCCCTGTGAAAGATAATTGAATAGAATGCTTTAATTTAATACTGAGAGATTTTTTTTTACAGACAAGCAAGTTGATAGCAACTTAGATTTACGTCCTTTAAAAAAGTCAGTCCTGCACAGGGGGTGTGCATATATATTTAGACATGTAAGCTAAGCACACCAGTGTAATAAATAACATTGCCCATGTGATACATGTACTCATCTGTCACTTCTCATATTGCATTGAGTTGATGTCACTGTTTCAGCTTGAATGATTTGTGCCAGGCTTGTATTTTTTTATCAAGGGCAGTGAATGGGCTCAGTTGCTTCACCCCTCAGAAAACGCTGGATAATTGGGCTCTGGTTTGTTAATCCCAAGTGCATCGGTTGTACTTGTATTGGCAGCAGACTTTTTAACTCAAGAACAAATAAAGATTGGTGCAAAATGAGAACAAACTTCCCCTGTTTCTTGGCAAGAGGACTAGAACAAGTTGGATATTAGGTGGAATTGTTATTTGGAGGACATTTTTGGACCCAGGCTGGCTTTTTTAAAGGGTTTTGGAATGGTACTAATAATTTTATTAATATAGCTTTTTAGATTGGCAAAAGACAAACATTTTCTGTACCTGAATCATCTTTTGACAGCACATTTGCATTTAGGATAAAAGAAACAATCTATCCAATTAGCAATCACACACACACACACACACACACACACACTCTCTCTCTCTCTCTCTCTCTCTCTCTCTCACACACACACACACACACACACAAATAGAAAATAATGATAATAATATTGATTAATAAAAATCTTGTTGTAGAGCATATTGATGGAAATACTGTGTGTCTGTAATTCTATTCCATAGAGCTAAAAGAGACAGTATTATATTTATGCCACTATTGAAAAAAGGACTAAGAAACAGTTCAAATGCATTACATTCACCACAAAAGCAATTATCCTTATAATGCAAACCAAATGCTTGAAGTACCATAACTGCTGACCTTGTAGGGCAAGGGGGTCAAGATAAACTTAAAAAGAAAATGGAAATGTCAGGGTTGATTTCTGCAGTGTCATAATAGAGTCATTTAGAAGGGGTCCATTTAGAATGGTAGAGCTGCAAGTGGCAGAAGGAATATAAGGTTTTGAGATGAGAGAAGATAGGAAGAAATCTATTTGAAAAAGGAGATCATGATGAAAGAGAAAGCTATTGACTGGATTGATGAAAAGTAAAATGGCGTTTCTAATTGTAATGTTTGATTGATTGATTTATTTTTTTAAACATTTTTTGCTTACAGTGAGATACAGTAGGATTAATAAAAACACAACAAGGGAAGCATGGCTTTGTCAACTTGAAAATAGGTATCTTTTTTGACGAGTACTCAAAGGGTAGTTGATTTAGAGTGCAAGTCAGGACTGCTATAAAACATACATGCTGCTGAAGTTTGGCATCATCTCTCTTTTAATTTGGTGTTAGCTGAGGAATGAAAGTAAAAGTGCAGAGGAGAAATTTTGTTCCTATTTTCTGTGAAGAGTCTTTCTCTGAATCTTATCAATAATTTAAAGCAGGATTTTTAGTAATCTAATCACTGGTATGCCTTGGCCTTGTTTCAAGAATTGTTATTTCATTTTGACTTCTGTCAGTTTATATGATATTGTCAATATGCAATATACAAGTTTTAAGAACTGATCATATATACTCCTTGATTTAGTATCTTATTTTTTTCTTACAAATATGTCTGAATGAAAAATTTAAACAGTTGAAAATATTGTAATTATTTAGGCAAAAAGGAATGACATATTGTGGCTCTCTCATTATAAGTTCTGTTCTGTTTTCTTTTAAGACGTGTTCAGAGAAGGCCATTTTTAACTCAAAAGTGACCTCACTTGTGTCACCAGACAACCATTAATTTCTAAGAAAAACAAAGGGGTTTCAATATCATCAGACAGGGTGATGTCTACAGCATATAAAACTGTCCCAGTCACAAGGTTTGCACTTCACCTCCCAAGGTATTTTGTAGAACTGAAAGTTGAAAGTTGTATTGTTCACTTGGAATGCATTAAGTAAGGAATTTTGGCAGTTTGTACCGCCTTTGCCATAACTTGGCACAGCTGGTAAGGCTGGGCCTGTCATATATATTTTATATTCACTATTTGACATGTTATGTCAACCCAGCCCCTGCTGGGAGATGGTCACTAAAGCAAATTTTTTGTTGTAGTCTTGTGTATTTTTTTCACGTTTGATCAATGAATAACTGTCAAAATATGGTAAAGAATTTTTTGTCAGTTTCTTATGTAGAATAAATGAGTTGAGCATTTGGTGAGGATTTGAATGTGAAGCAAACACCTTGTGTAAGTCATTGCATGTTAATGATTTTGTCTTGTCTGTGTGTTTTTATTCCCTGAACCACGAGCAGTAATCAATTTACTTCTACTTTATAAATAGAAGAAAAGACCAGAGGGTCATGCAGTGTTTTCTGTTTCTAGGAAAAATACCTTTAGGTACACTGTACACGTTTGAAAATTTCCCAAAGTCATTTATTTTGTGTGGGCGCTTTCAGAACAAATTAATTCAGGCACTAACAGATCCATTTATTAAATACTAGTAAGCTCCACTTTGATCCGAGATTTAATTGCTGTACTCTGCAAAGACAGCATGTGTGGGAGGCAGAGAGTCCATAAGGGGATTAGTGGCATTGCTTTTAAGTGGGCCGGCCATTTTTGATCCACAGATCTGTTTGTCCGTGGATCAACTTGTTCTGAGTGCATCCTTTGTCTGTATATTCTGCAAAGCTACTGGTCTTATCCAATGCAGATCTTTAAAAAAAAACTATCGTAAAAGTACCTGACAATAGTAGTTCCTTTTGAAATATAAAGGAAGACGTGGAAATTCGAATGACTGGCTAGTCATTTAGAACTTGTACATGAAATAAAAAAAAATTAATAAAACATCAAATCCAAATGCATGGATGGGTTGAGTGTGAGTAGGAGAAAATTGTTGTTTTCCCAAAGAAAATTCATTTTTTTCTGGTAAATCCTCTATAGAGTTATACCTTATATTTGACGAAAACCCAGAAACCTAACCCCCACACCCACCCCAATCCTCCCCAGCTGAAATAGTATCTATCTGAAATCTTAATAATAATATTTGATTGCAGCAAAAATTGTATTATCAAGTATGAGTGATGTCAAATTTTACTATCATGAAAATACATCAAAAAATCATTTGCTCCCCAGGGGCCAATTTGATAATATCAGATGTTAGATATTAAGCAAATAAATGAAAGGAGATTATGAATTGGAGGAATTTTATCTACATAAAGTTTAATGCTTCTAAATGGCCACAGTTATTTGTCCAGTGTTTGGTTATAAATGTAAATAATAAGCCAACCCTCAGTGGGCTGAGATTGAAGGCACAGGTTTACAACTATTCATATCCCCATTCTTATATGGCCAGGAATGTAAACACAGGAGAACAGGTGGCTATATAGAAACACAAGTTCCCTTGTCAGCTTCTGTGGTATGTTTGGAGGCTGAGGCATGGTTCTTTACCTCTTTTTCAGGAAATTAGTAGGGATTATTAAGCGTTTATAATTTTACTTGTGAGTCTCATTTATTATTGCACTTAAAGGTATACTTTTTATGCTAGTTAAGGCAGGAGGCCACTGGACATTTGTATAATAGTGGTTTTGCCTCCTTGAGGTTCAGAATCAACTGGAAACTCCCCTTCTGGAGTATGTGTCTGGTTTTTGTCTAACCCTGTAACACCAAGGGTGAGCTCATAAACATGTCTGTCAGAGGAATGTCACCTTCATTTGTTGATACTCGGGGTGAATTTTTGGTAGTGTAATGGTGACATACAGTGGGTGGAATTTCAAATGTTCTGCTGTAGATTTGATTCAGGGCGTTGGATTTAAAGTTGGCAGAGCAAGTGTGAGTTAACTGTATACAGTATGTATGCTTCATGCAGAGTTCGATGCGTGTGGTAAAGCAGGTGAATTTCAACTAATTTGCAATTTAGCATCTATTGATCAGCAGCAGAGAATCTTTGCCAGCTCTTAATTTTGAACACCCTGAGTTTGAAAGATACTGAAAACTTTTTCATAAAAGGCTTTCAACTTTTTAATTGCCCATAATTTTATATACAGGTCAAAATGTAAAGGGTGATACCAGATTAGTTTCTGTTCCTGAATGTGGAGTCTGTGTTGACTTTTAACCCTTTCTTTGTCTTCAGTAATATGTATGTTAATTAAAGATTATCTCACATATTTCACCCGCTCTTCAATTGATAAGTCTTATCATATCAGTATAATTGTTAGGTGAGGCTGACAGACTTGGTATCTGAAGAACAGAGGAATGATAGTGATGAGGTTAATTACTCACTCAGACAATAGGACACTTTGTAGGTTTGATAATTGATAAGTTCATTAACTGTCTCACCTGTGTCCTAGTCAGGTGCAGTCTCTTAGTATATAAGCAGAGAATCAAGGAAAAGGCTTTTGCTTCATACTATCTACTGGTAGGTACAGACTGAGGGGAGATATTTTTTATGCATGGACCCTTTTTTGTACTTTTTTTTTGGTTAGTTTGACGAAGTTGGTATTTTAAATAAGGAACCTCACGGGATTTGTCCTTTTTTATACAAATCTTGTGATTTATTGTAGAGAGATCTTTACAGTAATTGAAAATATGCAATTTATGGCTTTTTTCCTTGTTGCAGGTATCCCAGTGGAGGCAATGCTCCTAAATGAGTCACCTACCCCGAATAGACCCAGATGTACTTCAGTCCATCCACCTTCGCTACGAGGACACAGCGGCAGCCATATTCCGCCAAAATCAAAAGAAAAAAGGAGAAGCAAAAAGTTACTTGACGTTTGGAGATTCCGCCAAAACATTTGCATATGGAAAATTTGGGAACGAGGCTGTCACAGTACGAATGAAAGGAAAAGAGGTGCTAAAAGTCGACGACAGAGCTATTATGTCAAAAGTTTGCACAATATTATGAGGACTTGCTCAGTGGATAGACTTCTGCCTTCCTGAATTCAGACACAATAATTAGTTCTTTGTGGTGTTGTACTTGCGTTGGTGAAACAAGGAGTTGTGCCTTTATTTTGTTTCAAGCATCTTCAGTGCAGCATTGTTATTGTGTTTTTATGTGTGGACGGGAAGTTGATATCCATACATAACATCTTTGTAATCTGAGTTATAGGATAAGATTGACATTTGAACACACCACTTTTTTTGTTCTTTACTAAATAATTGTCTTTCATTCATCATCATCATTTTCATTAAACCAGAAGTCATACACACATTAAAAGCAAATATGGATCTTCAAGTCCATCCAATTCTAGAGAAAAACACCATCCCAAATCCAGCACTGTGGTATGTTTTTTCATCCACTGGAGAGAGCCCCACTATGAGAGTTGGCCACACCTGTACCTTCGTGCCGGGGCAAGATGGCAACAGTAGAAAAGTCTTTTGTATTGGAGGAGCCAATCCCAGTGGCCCTTTCAATGAAGTTTATATCCTAGACTTGGAAACATTTCAGTGGGACACTTGTGAAAGCCCAGCACTGATTGCACGCTACGAGCATTCCGCCTTTGTGCCACAGAGTCAGCCAGGGAAAATTTACATCTTTGGAGGAGCCACCCAGACAGGTAATTTAAATGACATTCAGGTCTTTGATGTCGGTTCGAAGACATGGAGCACTTTAACTCCTAAAGGAACACCTCCTTCCCCAAGAACACATCACGTCAATGTCTGTGTTGGCGACAGTTTCATTGTGTACAGTGGAGGACAGAGCGGTGCTGACCCAGTCACTGACCGCCAAGTCCATTGCTACGATGCACTCACTAACACCTGGTCAACATTAAACATTAAAGGAGATCCTCCAAAACCTCGTCATGGTCATATTATGGCAGCAGTTGGCAACAAAGTATACCTTCATGGGGGCATGGCAAATCAGACATTCTACGATGACCTGCATGTTTTAGATTTAGACAAGAAAACGTGGATGTTGGTGAAAAATAAAAAAGTTTATCCATCCGCCAGGGCTGCTCATGGAGGGGTGGCTGTAGGCAGTGACATCTGTGTATTTGGGGGGATGAACAAGGAAGGTGCACTGGAGGATATGTATAAGCTAGATACAGGTAATACTAGAATTACTGCTTGAAGATGAAAATCAGGTCAAGGCAAAAATGATTTAAGTTGTGAATATAGAGTATATCTCTGTATACGGTAAAAGTGGTTGCAGGTTTTATTAAGTACAGTATAATTAGTACATGTATATATGTTATTTATATTCTGAAAATTCTTTTTTTTTTAAACCGAGTACTTAATTGTAAGCACTTCTAACACCGAGTACTGTATAGTGATAGTGAAAGAGTAATAAATATATATATATATAAATTATATATTATTATATATATAAATCTTTCCTAGTTTCCATGAAATGGACCAAAATAGAACTAGACGGACCCCCACCCACCAACCGCTTAGATTTTGGTATGTGCGCCATACAACTGGACCCTCCCCCTGCAGAGGTGCCATCTGGTGGTGGGGATGGTGTTGCCAGTGGTGGACAGCAGGTCAAAGCAGTACTGGAACAGCAATTGCAAGGACTTAATCTCACTGGGAAGACAGATGGAGCCACAAGCTCTCCAAAGCTAGGTATGGTAAAAGGTCCCCAGCACAAGATTTTCCTGCAAAAACTCATATTTAATGGAATTTCCTGGGGCAAACTTCTTTTCTCCAACTAGCCAACCTTTGATGCTCCTTTCCTAACATCATAACTATATAACAATCTGGGAAAATCAAAAAGTCCTTAAAGCTCTCTCCTGTCAAAATACAATAGGGAGCGCTGTGCTTTGCCTCACCAATTATCTGCTCTATTTCGCGTAAAGCTCGGCACCTCATACTTTATCTATACCTTAACTCCTCAAATACTTACAGGTTTGCGTCACGGCTTGTCAGCAGGAAGGCGATAAATGAGATTTTTCTTGGAGACACTCAAATTGGCATTTATCTGTGTAAAAAATGGTCAGAAAATATCACTTGCCCTTGGTTATGTTCAAGTAGAAGTGCTTCATGTAGCTTAAGCTAGAATCCAACATGTTGGATTCTAGATAGCTTTAAGAAAAAAAAACTTTTTAATCATACACTTTGCCTCTTCAAAACATGTTAACTTTTAATTGATCGTTTTTCTCTCTCCCTCTGTTTTGGTTTCTTTTATGATTAACATTTATTAAATTATTACTATTATTCAGTAATGTTTGACTACTTTCAGCAGCAGGTCAGCAAGACCAGGACACCGAGAGCAGCAGCACAACTGTAGACGGCAGCTCGGTGGTTGCCAGTGGGGAACCAGGACAAGACCAAGTGGCAGCTGTGGCAGGGAAAACATTGGACATGTTGTTTTTATTTGGAGGAATGGACACAGAGGGTGAAATATTTGATGACAGTTTGGTGTATCTGGTTTCATGACAAGATAGCATGTGATCCTAAGTGAGATTTTTATTTGTCTGCGATGAGTGATGGTCTTCGCTGTTTAGTATGGCAGAATACAGCCGCAGAGCAGGAGACATTTCAGTTAGAGAAAGCAACTGATTGTAGAAATATTTGACTCATTGTTCTTTACCAAGACTCTGGGTCCTCTTCTCCAAGAAAACATTTGGAATACTATGTATCCAGAAAGGACTGGGTTATCCACGAACTCGGTCTCTCTCTCATAGTATTGTATACAGTGCAGCATTTTTTGCTAATGTTAGAATGGGGTTGTGTGGCATCAAGCTCAAATGTTGTAATTAATTTTTTAATTACAAGTCAGTTACATTATTTAGACATTCATGTGCATAAATGCCAATCATACTCGTGCTCATTTTACATTTTGATTTTTCATTTATCATTGCTGGTTACACAGATTACTATCTTCATCTACACCATTTAAGAGTGATACAGCTCTTTTAAACAGCAACGCAAAATAAGAAGTTTGAAAGGGCTTCATTTTGTTCAAGTAGTTTTATAGCAAATCTTTGTAGAGTGACATTAATTTGCGGTGTTTATATTTTGTTTTATTAGAACTTTTGGAAGGGCAAGAATAATTTTGCTAAAATATCTGTCCAAGGGTATAAGATTGCACTGGGTAGTTTGTGCTCATTATTTGCTGGTATATCTATATGATACAATTCAAGTGTTAAAGACATCTGGTTTCTTAATGTGCTGAATAAGAGGGTGAAAGAAAAGTGGTTTAAATGAGTACTAGCTGCTGAATAGTATTTTAAGCAATGTGTATTGTTGCATTTAACATCTTTGAATTGGAGAAATTAATAATATTGCTTGTGGCATAAATCGGGAGACAAATAAAACATGAATGAAATTCTTGTCAAATTTTGCTTTAGTCTATCTGATAAAAAAGCATTTAACATAAAGTATAAAACTTAAGACCCCCATAAGTTTGTAGTGATTCACTGATTTTATTATGCATTACTTCTTTACTACAACATTGAACAAACTGAATCATGCTATGGCTATCATTTGAATGACCACAACTTGCCATTTAAGGTGTGAAAAGACCACTTAAAAACCTGAAATTGTTTCAATTACAGCTTTGTATCAGTCTCTCTGTTCAAGATTACCATATTCAGGGTTCTTAGCCCCTGGCCATTGTGAACTGAAAACACAGTGAAAACCGTATCCAGCTGCTTATTATCAGCTCTCCACTCTCTTCACATATAACATTCATCATTAAAGTAACACGTCTATATTTATTGAACACAGTGGTACTACTCCCATAAAGTAAATTATATTTTAACCTGAGATCAATTTACATTTTCTCTTCTGAAACATTTTTCTTCTTCACAACCACCAATCTATCCATTAATACCATTTTACAATAAAATGGTGAAGCAAACTAACATTGTAATGCAGTTTCTTCAGCAAACAACATGCACCAGTATAATAGTGTGATACGTACTTGTGAGGTGCACTTACATATTACTTGCAAATTATACCAGTATGATATAACCATAATATGTTAAACCGGCTCTCCAGCATCGATATGTTTTCCATAAACAACTGACATACCTAAATTGATAGCATCATGTATAACATGAGTCTCAACTCCCCTCCTCCCTTCATATTAGAAAACCAGTTCCACTACTCAATGAAATTTAATCTATATTGCAAACATACATTCTAATATGCCAACATTTAAGCCCCAAATTACAAGACTATGTATTTAGTCTTAGTCAGTAAACATTGTAACCTACTGCCTTGACATACCAATTTACTTAAACTAGTTAATCGAACACACCAAATTGTAGACCACAATTCACAAGTCAATGTGAATGTTTATAGCTATACACCTAAACTGCAGTTGCAAATAGAATCTTTTCATTCAGACAAAAAACTATAAGAGAACATATCTTCACTTTATGAAAAAAAATGCTGAATAACAGTAGCACCTCAGGCCCACATTAGGGCTCCCTTTTAATACCAAAACCCTCTAAACAGGTAAATACTACAGACAACAGACAAACTTTTAAATTCTGTGACCCAAAATTAAAGCATTTTCCATTTTGTTGGCAACTTGTGAGTCTTTCCTTGAGACCATGGCCTAAATAATGTGCATATATTAATTTTTCACCTCTGTTAAATAAAAAATCGCTTTTCATCAAATGCCACAACTAACTGAAGTATACTTCTATTTCTTCGTCAACATTGTGAGGAAAGTCTGGTGAAAATACAATAAAAACATTTGTATTGAGATGTCTGAAACCAGTTGCCTGGGATAGGAGGTTGTAACTCCCAAGGTTCTGCTAACAACTGTCATAGACAGCAAATTTGATACTAGGCAAAACTTTGGCCCTAGCATATATATCCCTAGAGCCAGGAATTCAACTGGTTGGCATCATGTTTGCACTGGAAATACCTGTCTAACTTTAAGTGGTATTATACCCGACTGCTGGTAGCACCTTCATTAAGTCTGTTACATGCTCAGATCTCGTATGCTCTGCAGGCACATGGTCCCTCTTTTAATACACTAAGTTAATAGGGTACTGGAGAATTGAAGAGATTAAAGAAATCTTGATGGTACACATTTATTTGTCCACCATAGAAATATGGCTTCAACTTATGTCCACAAATGAAAGTCAATTTGACTGTTCCCGAACTGTGCATGTTCAAAACATCTCAGAGGTTTATTTCTCAGAACTTTCTAGGAATTCAATCTATCATCCAGCAACTTCATCAAGCTTAGCTGCAAACATCTTAAACTAGAAAGATGCTGACCAGGGTGCTGGCCACTGTGCTGACCAGTCTTTCCACTGTTCAAACATACTGCCTCACATTCCACATGAGATCAGTCCAAACTGTTCAACGTGCCACCTCTCCTGAGACCACAGTATTCCATCTAGAACTCCCTAAAATGCTCCACTCACTGCTTTTTTGACCACAATTTCATACAAGTTCTAAAATCTGAAATGCAAGACATAAAGGATTTTATGTATTAATCCCAAGTAATATATATGTATATGAAACATTAATCCACCATTTATTTGTTATTAAAATTAAGAAACCAAACATCTCATTAAAAATTATTATTGACAAAAACCTTTCATACAATGTCTGTTTCAAATCAAAGGATAGGAGATTTAAACAGCCCATATTAAACTTCTTCATCAAACCTTTAACCATTAACAGACAAATAATTAGACTTCGTCGCTTAATATTTTCAAGAAATTGATAAGCTTACCTTGATTGTTCCTTGGCTGTTTGCAGCAACCACAACATTTGATCCCTAAAACAAAATACAAAAAATTTACTTGCATTTTTAATTTAAATAGTAAAAATGGGGATGCTTCATTTCATTGTACCTGTGAAAAAAACTTTCTAATTTTAACTACTATTTGATGATGTTATACTTATCCAACACCATGACCTTATACTGTGTTACGTAAGTCGTAAGTTACGTAATTTTTAGGCACTTGCAAATTTGGCATAAATTGAACCTTACAGGTCAAACTAGTTACAGTTCTGAACATCCCATTAAAACTGTCTTCAACAGATCTAAAAACACCATGGTACTGAGCAATCTTTGAAGGATTTTGAAAGTATTCAGAAAGTGTTATTTTCCAAAGTTAGTCTTTAAAATACTCACTGGCCTCCAGCTGACCGCACTGACAAACTCATTAGTGTCTTCTTCTTTCCTGTCCTTCTCCTGCAAACATAACAAAACAAGCCTTATTTACAAAAGACACTTTAAATGCAGGCCTCTGTGCTAAAAATGTTATACTTAATCAGAAGAAAATATTAGCGGTGGGTCCTGTGCAGTTAAATTTGAATTTTCTACTTCCATCCCCCTCCCCCTCTCCACTTTACATTGCTGCAACATTTTATTCCTCACTTTTAACATGCCGAGAACAGCATGTAAAAAGTTAAGAAACTACTTGATTCAAGCATTCTCTTTTTAGGTCTAAAAACAAAGGTGGTGATACCATTCCCTCAGATGTTTGAACACAAATATAATGATCTATTTGAACATTTCAGCAGTTAAAAATGAAGTTTCCCTGGGCACTGTAATGCTGTGTACAGCTAATTAAAGTATTTGATTTAATATAAAGTCTTACCAATACACTTCTTACTGTGTCAAATTTGTAGGTGACCAACTGTTTGGAAAGTCCCCGGAAGTAAACACACAAAGAATTATTTTCACTCCCTGAAAACCAATAAGAAATCATTAACCACCTACCAATTCAGTCAATGAATGTATAAATGACAAGTTATCCTTTTTCAATCTAAATATTAACAATAAAAATTTTTTCTGAATTTTTTCCTTGAAGTTCATAAATACCTATTTTAAAAATACAAGCAAAAGGCATTAATAACTTTAACATCTTTCATTTACATGGTACATATACCTTGATAACATCAATATTTCATTAAATACACAAGTGGAATCACACTATGTTTACATCAAAAAGAAACAGGAAGTTTTATGATATACTAACCACAGGCAATGTAATCCCCATCTGTGGCTAACCCAACAAAGTTCTTCTCATTGACATGGCCTCTGAATGTCCTCACACACTGAGGTTTGTTCACATTCCACAGCTTTAACTGACTATCTGTGGACCTGAGGAATTGAGAGAATAATTTCACTATCATAATCATTATTATTATTTATTTTTTAGAAATATAATCCTGCCACAAATAAGTAAACTTTTGATCCAACAATGACTGTCATGCATGAATGGTTAACATTCTTCATGATAACAGGTTTTACTTCACGTATTTAAATGTACAATATACAGGAGAAAAAATCCATTTCACCTGTTCTAGTGCATTAATCATCTAACAATATTCATATTTCCACCTATGATGTACACATGAAAATAATTTTGTTATGCTACATTTTCATTAATATAACAGTGACAACTTTTACTGCTTGCAATGAAAACATATACAAAGACATTGCAGTATTACTAATTGGGTTCTATAGAATAATTTTACGTTCAAGCAGGTATGTAACTATAAGTACAAATGACTGATTGAGAAAGCTGTAAGTTTCTTACGCCGAAACCAAGTCTGAAGAGTTGACAAATTTCACATATGACACAGCTTTCCGATGGCCTTTGAAGGTCATGAGTGGCACCTTAGTGTTGCGAAGGTCGTAGTAATGTACACAATGGTCTGGAAAGAAAATATCATTTTCACTATCAAAATCAAAATAAGCATGTCTTCCTCATTTTACCCAATACTGAAGAATAAGTGGAATATTGCACGGATTCACATTATAGTTTATAAATGAGTGTTGCACTTGTCATGCCAAGTAGTTTAAAAGACCAGCAGATATGATTTATTCACACCTGATTAATGTATGGTAACAGAATCACCTAAATCCTTGCAAATTAATAAGCAATTGCACAAACCAAATTTTAATTTAAAATATATTATGTTCTCAGCAAACATTATTTACCAGACTTGAAATCTTTGAAGCAATATTTATTTTTTTGTCTAAAATCCCATAACTGTTTAGATAAAAGTAAAGACAATGTTTATGATAAAAATAGTGATGACTTTACTGCTGCTGACCTGCAGAACCAAAAGCTAAGTGATATCTGCTTTCGGGGTTAAACTTGACACAGCACACATTGGCCTTGGCCTCTATACTGGCCACAGAATGCTCCACATCAGTTGACCACAACTTCACTGTAAAGATAAATATATATTAATTAATTAGTTAATAATTAATGCATGAAATTTTGAACTGGCTAAAAGTTTCAATATTCTGACTAGTTTCAGACTAAAATAATAATAATAATAATAATAATAATAATAATAATAATAATAATAATAATAATAATAATAACAAGNCGGCGCCGGCATCGGCATCGGCATCGCCATCGCCATCGCCATCGCCATCGCCATCGGCGACGACAGACGCAGGTGATGGCAATATGTACAGACACATCTGTGTCTGTACATAATAATAATAATAATTTTAAAAAAATAATAAATTAAGATGGATTTGGTTGATACAGTTTCAGACTAAAAAAATAGTAGTAGTAATAATAATAATGAACACTTAAGTTAAAATTGAATTGATTGACATTAGCTTTCATTATGAAAAACCCGACAGCATCAGCCATTACCTTTGGCATCATCTGAACCTGAAGCTATAAGTTTAGGATCCATTCTGTTGAAATCCACACTCCAGCACCTTTTCTCATGTTCCTGCAAGATAATATTTTAGTTCAATCCTGAATGTCTGCATTTCTTAGAACAATTCAGATTACAGAAAAGCCTGGTCAAATATCTGTCTCTGAGCTTACTTACTCAGTTATTTACTTCACAGTTCCTGGCATATTGCCATGGAGTTCTCCTTCTCCCCCTTTACTTTTAACTTGGATTTGAAAGCTTCCATAACTAGAAAAAGCTATAACTAAAGGTGACTTCTACTTAACTACTTTTTTGTCCATATATACTGAACATTTACTTATATTCATTTCAACTGTGCATGTTTACTAAGATCCTTTTCTTACTGCACCTGAAACATCCTGTGCTTCACCCCACTAAATGCATCCCAGATTGTAATTGTCCCCTCGTAATCAGAACTGGCCATTGTTCCCTTGTGGTATGCACTCCATGTTACACAGCTGGAACGAAAAGACAGGTTTGAAAACAAATAGAAAAGACAAGAATGGGGAAAAATCTCCATGTCTATCAAACACAGATCTGCTAAAGACCATTAAATGACTATCATAAATGTAAGGGATTATTCATTTTTCAAAAACAAGCTCCTTACTACAAATTTCCATTTCCAGTCATGAAAATGCCCCTGCAATTGTTTTGAAAGTCTTTTCTTTTTTATTTTTGTTTTAAATGGGAAACCAGAAGTTTCTTTATTGCAATACTGCTCACCTTATTTTTGAATTGCACACCATCTCTGTCACAGGGTAATGCATATCCACTGCATCACTGATCACCATGTTGTATTCAAACACCTAAATAATGGTCAGAGAACAGCGAGTGTAAAGTATGAACCATCAAATAAAAAGAAGAAATGTAGACATCTAAGAACTACAGGATGAAATTTTTAATTGACAAAAAGAAGAATGTGAATTCCATACTTTTATCACAAATTCCAAGGTGGAAAGACTGCATTTACTTCTTAACAAAATCACAGCTATGCAATGAGAAACTAAAATGCCATTTATACCAAATTTTGTTGACATAAACATTTAAATAAAACCACAATATTTGAATGACATGATCAAGATCACAAGTTTATCACACAAACCTTTATTTTCTTGGTGACTCCAGCAATAGCAAAATAATCACAGTCACGATCAAATTCAATACTGAAAAATAAATAGTATTATTATTATTACTATTTCTTCTCTTTTCTTCTGAGATATGACATTTGTATTTAATCACTTTCACTCATGATTTAAATGCTTACACCTGACACTGACTCTAACATTCAGAATTTAGTCACCAAATAAAAAATTAAGTTGAATTTGACACATGAACAAAAAATAAAAAGGAACTTTTTTTTTATTTTATTTTATTTTTTTTTGAGAGAGTGAGAGAGAGAGAGACTACCTTGATACTATACTTGAGCCATTATATATGTCACTGGCATAACTAAGAGTAGCTAATGGACGAAATGAGCTGAACTGGGTAAATTTGGAAAGGCTATCACTAAAATCTTCCAGTCCATCTGAAGAGGTACTACATGTCTCCCCTGTAAAAAAGGGAAATTTTTCACATGACTGTCTGCAGTGTTGGCATAAAGTATATGAAACAATGCTAAAACCATACTGCACAAACATACACATTTCTATTGCTAGCGTATATATATATATTTTACTTTGTCTTTCATTTTGTCTCCTGGGTCAATTATCAAAACAAACAACTTCTAGCTAGAGACTTTATAGTATTGAAACTATGTTATCACAAGGAAATGACGCATCACAAACATTCATAATCAAATAATCATGCAGCAGAGTATTCAAATATTGACTGACATCAAAAATAATTCATGAGAGAGATAATTACCAGATCCATATTCTTTTAACCTAGTTGAGAAATAACATTGTTGCAGATCATCAAAATGTTGGCTGACTTTTTTCCTCCTGGAAGCCATAGTGGTCTGCAGCCACTGTTTCCCACCATCCTGAAGCAAAAAAGAGAATGTTACATTTTTGCTTTCCTGTTTCACAATTGTCTTGAAATGTAATTGTTGATCCAAGAACTGATGTATAGATAAATAATACAACATTTGTCACTGTGAAAAAAATTCAAAAGGAATTATTTGCCAAACCTTAATTATATTCAACTAGTGTTACCATGTGAGACTTTTGATGCACAACTGGCAAATGTCTGAATGCCATGGAGATTTATTTATTTATTTGGGGGGGGGGGGGGGGGGTATTAACACTATCTATATATGTCACTGTAACATTTTGTATAACATGATTAAATATGCAAGTGATATTTGCTTATCCCACATTCACAAGTCATATTTGATCATGCTTTAAGCAGCTATCTGTATTTTTGAAACAATATCTGACAGTGACACTAAGAGCCATTTCCGTCTTGTTTTGTTGTCACTGCCAGGTGTTATCACTGACAAATGCCAGCATGTCACTTACATGTCTGCTCCCATTGAATCCTTCCTGGCTACTGCTCCCAACACTAACACCACTACTACTACTAGTACTACTGCAGTGGGGCTCTGCACTCAGAGGTTGATCAAGCCCATTTACTAATGTGGAGGATTCCTAAAATGTAAATATTATCATAATAGTTTTCCACTTCTTTTAATACTTGTTTATGGCAGGTTGTCATATATTGGTCATAAAATTTAATTTGTGCATATTAAATGTGAAAATACAAATTCTTCAGGTTGACTAAATTTAATATATTATTTCAATATAGTGAGTATAGCATAAATGATAAGTCATAACTGATGCAATGCCAGCAAATTAACACTTTGAAATTTCTACCTGCACTGCAGAAAAAAATAATCATAACTTGCAGAATATTTTTATAACAAAATCTTTGGTTATTTTGCATACACCAATAGTGAACTTACAGGAGATAATGGAGTAAAAGGATATTTCTTTTTATATTCTTTCAGTGCTGTCTGCAAAGAGAAAGCATAAGTTGTTTAACAGCAACAATATATTCTCTCACTCACTATTAGAGATTCAGAGAATATATTATAAAATTTATAAAAATTGCCAGTTAATTCACTAGAGTCTAACAAATAAACTGGTAATTTTATAAATCCCATTACTAAGTGATAAGCTATAACATGGGTGTATTCAATGCAGCTATTGGCTGGTTATTTATGTATACCTTACTCTTAGGCTAAAGGAGTGTTACTTAAGGCAATGGGATTGGTCAACATTTAATCAGTGATCAAATTCTAAATATCTGACAAGAGGAAAGTAACGTAGGAATCATACCTCGACCCTGCTATAATCTTCATCAATGATATGTACTTCTCTTGTTAATCTGTCTAATTGCTAAAAGACAAGTACCATTTTCTTTCAGAAAATTCTTGACAAGCATTCATATAATAAAGAATTCGAGATATGCAAATCATAGACAGGTTGATACTTCACACCTATACTTTGAAAGTTTTGACACAGAACTGACAGTCAATGGAAAATCAATGTCATGTTATTCCTGTGGAAAAACAAGTTCAGAAAATAAGAAAATTAAGTGTGTTAGTCCATGTTACAAGTGATAAGAAGCTGACATAGGTCTTTTTCTCTTAATACTGTCTGCCACACTACATAAATACCTGATGTGTGCATTGCTTAAGATATTTGAACTCTTACCTCTTGTTTTCTCTGTCTCAGCTGTTGGAGAAAATCTTTAAGAATCTGGTTTTGAGCTATTTTGGAATCCTGCAAATATGATTTTGTAGTGAAATATATCTATTTTTAAACTAAGCTGGCTACTAAATTATGTGTAACAGAAAAATCTAATATTTCTATTTTTCAATTATATCAAGTATGTTTACTTATCCATAGAACTTCCTGCTAGATTTTCAAAATACAAAATATCATCAAATGCTCAATATTCCATGGAAAACTACTGCAAATATACACTTAACATGTTTTTAATGTTTATTTATCATTCATGCAGAAAAGAAAATCAATTATTCATCTTAAACAAAGAAAAATGTATGATACCCTTGAGTGAGAGTTCCGTGTACTTACTGATTCTAGTCTCTGTTTCTTCTGTGTCAGTAGCTCCAGCATAAAGTTGACATTGGCCAGATCCAGACTGTCCTGGTCAAGTAAAAGGTCCTGGACAGCTACTGGGGTGATATGCCCATTCTATAAAATATTCAAATAATAATCATCACATTGTTTTCCACTCATTAAATGTCTGCATGTTTGAGTAACATAATATAACTTAAGACATTTAATACTGTTTGTGAATATTATTTAAACAAACAGCATATGGTTCAAATTCTAAGTAATTTCAGACACTAAAAATACTTAATCAACAACAAAACACAAGTGAATACAAAAATACAAGTGAATTCATAAAAAAATCTGTCTACCATTTACATATTTGGAATTTTGCACTTGTAATGCTTTGCTTCTTTAACCAAACACACAATACAAACCCAATTCCTGACGCTTTTATGAATTAATAAAATGCTACACACCTGTTGTTCTAACTTGGGTTTCTTCTCTATCTTTTGTCTGTGTTTTAAAATCAATTCATTTACTGAAAGAAGAAAAAAAGCAGCATGAACTTAGGTTTACCATATAAAAATGGCATACTTTTGTCCTTCTGACAAAAACTGGGGTCTCAGTACAACCCATCCCCAGGTAATAATGCTTATACCATTATTATTATTATTTCACACAATAAAACAGCCCATAGGCATATCATACATACATACATACATACATACATACATACATACATACATACATACATACAAATCCTATACTAACTGTTCTTATTAACCACAGGAAATAAGAAATCTTCTTGAGTCATTACTTTTTAATGAAAACATCAATCTCAAAATGCACGCTCTTTCCCCTGCAACTGAATTAAGTCTAATAATTATTATTTCATATTTGTTGTCTCTCTCCTTCCCCATTCTCATGTGACCTTCATGTACAGACATAGGGCACTGTATCCTGAGGAAATCCCATCCATTCTTTACTGTCAATGAGGAGACTCCTTCCTCTACTCACTGTTTATAATTAAATCACTTGTCTGCATTTACACATGACTGCATATAAATCAATTTCCTGAGTTGTGTTATTATAAACTGTCAATTACTGAAAATCAGAGGAATACGCCAACTACTGAGATACAAGCTTTATGAAATGTAAATACCTTCACATTGGCGAAACTGTAAAAATAATAAATAATACATTTTTATCAGCTCTATTCCAGAATCAAAACAGCAAAGATAGTCAACAATACAGTTTTAAGAAAACCATGCATGTATCTGGTTTTCATGACAACACAAAAACGGCTTAATTCTGACAAACAAGAATAAACATTTTTTATTTCAAAACATACAAGTAATGTGGTTTCTTCACTAGGTTCAACTAACAGAAGAATTCAACATGTATGGCAAGTGAGGGCATCTATAAAATGCAATCAAAAATTCAGAACTCTGTATTTCCTCCGTATTTAGCCATCAATTCCCTTTATTCTAAGATGTCAATGTAGATAACTTGACTAAAAAAAAAATAATAATAATTCTGAAAACTACAAATTTGGCAAATGTAACTGAATTACTCCATGAATACATTGGCACTCAATGCTCTCAATAAAATTACATTCAGAGAATCTGTCATCAACCTGAAGTACAACAGTCATTATAGTATTTCCTCAATTTCATTTTTTTTTTATTTTATAGTACAGCATTCAACATTACATTTCAATCACTCACCAGATGTGCTCCTGATTTACTCCAATCTGCACAATAGATTCTTTTCATTGTTCTAAAATTTTCTACAAATCTTTTTTCTTTTTTTATTACTTACAGAGGAAATTTGGAAAAATTTGATCTGGTGTGTCCATCACAAAGTTACACTTTGGGCAGCGATTGGACTGGTCTAAACTCTGCTTTATACATCTGTGGCTGGAAAGAAGAATAAAATAATTCACTGGTAGATTGAAGACCACAGGACTTAATCTTCTTTCCTCTAAAGTCTGACAGCCACTGCTTAACTTAATCATGCTTGTTAAAAGCTCACTCAAATCACTAAACATTCATTTTAAAAAATTTCATAAATTAATCTAGTACATTTTATATTGAAAAAAAAAAGAACATTAACAGCTAAATTTCTCATCTGACTGTGAAAAGTTGTGAAACGGTCAGGCTTAAGATCTGCATTTAATTCGACCGACAATATTCCATACATGTAACTGCAGAAATACAAAAATCACATTAGCTTTATGAATAAACACATGCTCACCAAAAACTGTGTCCACATTTTGTCATATGTGCTTCATCAATCATCCCAAAGCAAATGGGACTGAAATTAAAATTAATAAAAATTATTTACAATATAACTTATCCTTGGCAAAAAATTGTTCACATCATCTGTAATATCCATTCTGTGAGGTTACTGTCAAAATTACCCTTTATTCAAAGAATGTCATTTGCAAAGCACTTTTAACTATTAACATGCATTTTAAATTTTTTTCATAGTTATATCTTATTCAAATGGTTACAGGTTTCCAACAATTTTCTTTAACTCAAAGTAGGGGAAGGGTCATTTTGAACCCCAAGAGAAATACATATCAGGGTCTCATTTAAGTTTTCGTGGGTCATTGTGTTAAATAAAGAGGATATTTTCACAAGAGTTTGTCCCAGACACCGAAAGCCGAACATTGAGACTTGGAGTAAAACTTTCTACAGCCATCTTTAGATCAAAAACTGTATGGCAGGAGGTTGTTTATGATCTGAAATCATCTAAAGCCATATAAATATCCACGATTGATTTCAAAGCCATGACAAAACCAATTCCAACTGATAACTTAAAGGGATTATATCAGTGAAAACAGCAGCACTCAATCAATAAATGGCTGCAAAATCTAACAGCAAACCCTTTTAATATCCTCTCACATGCTGAACACACCAATGTCATCATAGAAACCATTTAAGTTATATACGTCGGCGCCTTGCAGGTCTCTTACTGTTTACATCAATGCCACACCCACCCACTCTTTGTATAAGAAGTGCTTCCAACATTAGATAGAACCCCATAGGCTTCTGTCCCTAACATGGAGATATTCAACTGTTGCCATTTTTTATTCTATTGCCTAAATCAATCTATAATTTGTTTTGTATGGCATTTTTCTATTAGCAAAATGAGCTTTTTCAACCTATTTTATTTTTTAAAAATATATAGACTCGCCCTTCAAGAAATCGACGCCTTCAAGAAATCGACGAAAACCGGAAGTGCGTGTTTTTTGCACTGTTTTTCCTGTCATGCCCATCGTAAACACTGTGTTGTCAAGTAAAATGAAGCATCTGATACAAAGTATCAAACGCGGCATTCACGTGCTTGCTTGCGATGCGTTCAGTACACTTTGTTTACACTGACAAGTCGAGGTCAGAAATGCACAATGTTTTTCTATGTAATTACGTAGTTTCAGTTTTGATTAGTGAATTTTCTTTTATCAGCATGGTCATTTTCCGAACATTTGTATAAGCCACGAAATATTTCTCATCGGAAAATCACCCAGCAGCTTTCCAAGTACAAGCGAGTGACGTCATGACGCACTTCCGGTTTTCGTCGAGATCTTGAAGGGATTAGCGTTACGGTTTGCTGCACATTTAAAGCGTTCTGTCTCAAAATGTACT